ACTGAATTGCCCGAAGTGATCAGTCATGAGACGACGATAGCTTCCACTGAATTATCAGAAGCGGAAAACTCTGCATCGATAGCCACTACTACTGAGTTACCAGAAACAGCCACTCTTGAACCGACGGCAACTGTTACTCAATTAACAGAAATGACCGCTGAATTATCGGAAATGGTCACAACTGTATTGTCTATAACTATCACTGAGTTACCCGAAACGATCACTCCTGAGATAACTACAGCTTCCACTGAATTACCGGAAGCGGCCACCTTTGGGTTAACAACTATTACTACTGAATTGCCGGAAATTACCACTTCTAAGGCAATAACAAGTGCCACTGAATTGCCCGAAGTGACCAGTCATGAGACGACAATAGCTTCCACTGAATTATCGGAAGCGGAAAACTCTGCATCGATAGCCACTACTACTGAATTATTAGAAACAGTCACTCTTGAACCAACAACAACTGTTACTCAATTAATAGAAACAATTACTGCTGAGACAATAACAACGACCGCTGAATTATCGGAAATGGTCACAACACTGCATTCTATAACTTCCACTGAGTTACCCGAAACGATCACTCCTGAGGTAGCTACAGCTTCCACTGAATTACCGGAAGCGGAAACTTCTGCATCAATAGTCACTCTTGAATCAACAACAACTGTTACTCAATTAACAGAAACGACTACTGCTGAGGCAATAACAATCACCAGTGAATTATTGGAAACGGCTACGATTGTATCGATCACAAATACTAGTGAATTATTCGAAACAACCACAATTCAGGCAAGAATAACTACCGCTGAACTATCTGAGACGGCCACTATCGAGCCAGCAACAACTGCAGGTGAATTATCCGAAACGGCAATCACTGTATCAACTATAACGAGCACCGAGCTTTCCGAAACTATCACTTCTGTGCCAAGTATAGCTACCACAGGATTACCAGAAACGACTACCCATGTAGCAACAACAACTAGCATTGAATTACCCAGAATGACCACTCGTGAGGCAACAATCACTATTATCGGATTATCGGAAGCGACCACTGCGATGCTGACTACAACTATCACTACTGTATCTACTGCAGCTACTACTGAGCTACTGGAAACGACTATCTCGGCATCAACCAGAACTACCACTAAATTACGAGAAACGGCCACTTCTGAGACAACAACTATTTCCACTGAGTTACCCGAAGCGACCACTAGTGTACCGACGTCTACGACGTAAGTTGTTTTGTGAATCTTTTTAACAAACTAATGACTTAGTAATAGATCAAATAATTACTATCTGTGACAATGCTCTATGAACACTATTGTTATCATCACATTGCATACGAATCATGATATTTGTATTGTTGTCGGATGAAATTTATCCATGTCTCGATTGATTATTTATTCTATTTCCGATTGTCGCTATTACGGCACCACAAATACTTCAGAGAAAATTTAGTTTTTCACATTGAAATCATCTCTTGTCTTGTTTATTACTTAGTTGACATGAATGTTTTCGAAATCAAAGTTTATAAGAGGAGTTGAAATATACCGATCCCATCCGAGGAGATATTAAATTTGTGTCTATCCGAATTGATAGAAATCATACGCATAACGTTTTATGGAAGAAAAGTTATATGGATTTCAAATATGTGTAATATAATAAATCATAGTAATTGTATAAACTTAACATATCTGTCGTCGACTTCCATCCTTCAGTAGTGTAGCAGCAATTTGAATTGGTTTGCGTATTCGATTGACAGCAATATTGCGCCATAAATAAACTCTGGCGGAAAGTGAGAGGAGCAAAGTACAGTATATGCTACTGTTCAACGTTGATTAACGAGTAAATCTCTGAAAAGCATAGCAATTTTTGAAAAAGAACAATCTTATGGATTTCACGCCTATTTTCCCACCGAAAGTATGTTTTCGATTTGGACGCTGTAGTGAGGTAGAACGTAGTCAAAGATAGTCTGTATATGAAAAGGAAAAAAAAACTTTGATACGAAAAGTTTGGAGATTCAGTTCAGTATCTAGGAACAACGCGGCTTATATTATTACCGAATTGATAGTAGCTACTGGAAGGTCGGCAGTTATATAGAAAATCTAAGCTGCTTCTGAAGAATCAACTGCATCTCCAAATTTTAGTTATCCAAAATGATTTTTTTTTGTATACAGATTACTTTCAAGTGTATGATAGTTCGCTGAACGATTAGGATCAGAAAACACACTTTATCCAGAAGTACGCAACCTTTCATATGACTTTAACTTTCTGAAAAAGAAGTCAGTTTGAAAGAACAGCGACTTAACTTATACATGTTGATCATTATTGTGTTCAAACAATTTTGAATACCTTTTGTTTGTTCGTTTCACTTGACGAGCAATTCAATTAATCTCGTACTACTTTTATTTAAATTCTAACAATCTGATCTAATGAAATTTATGATAACACTGATTATTTGCTCACAAAAACCATAATTAATCACCGAAGTGATTTCAGAAATCCATCGGATGGCAACGCTTTCTCGACCAAAAATCTCCTTCAGACCCACACGAAGTCTAGCTGGATCGGCAGAGAAAACTCACCAGACTGGTTGGACTGCACTGAAACTAAAGCTAAAATGAATTGGGCTATGAAATTGTACACTGTTTCAAGGTCTTGTATATAACCATGAAAGTGATACTTCTAGAATTCTTTGCAATAGAATTCAAATGACGAAAATTTTGATAATGAGAATACACAATATTATTTTCATAACAAGCACTTATTCATGATTTACATAATTGAAAGAATGTTTTCTTTCACATTTGATGACGAAGAAGAAATTTTCTGTGTCTAAACATTTTGTGAGGACACTCACAAAACGAAAATATAATGTGGGTTGTTTTTTTTCATATTTGTTTTCTCAGTTTCAGATCGATAACAACAACAGTGTCTACTATGCTTGACCATTCACAATCGTCTATAGCTACACAAGGTATTGAAGAAACATCAAACCCAAACGTTCCAACTGCAACAAAGGTACGCTTATATAAAAATAGAAAACTGTCGATATAAACTAGAGAATATATTCAGCATAATTCTTTTCTTTTTAATGAGATGAACTTCTCGAGAAAGATTCAATCTTGTAATCATGTTAATCTTTTTAGGCAACTTCAATTTCTACTACAGAAGAACCTCTCATTCCAATCTTTAATTGTGATTTTTCTATAAATTCATGTTTTGATGATAGTGAACTTCGTATTACAAATGGGAATGAATTCACTCCAGCCGATATCAGTCAACCACCTCGAGCTCCTTTGTCTGATGTTAGTTCAATCAGTAAGTCTTCATTTTGCTCTTTTATTTAAAACATATCTACATATGGAATAAATATTACAGATAAACCAACAGATAATAATGAAACATGCAAATTACCTTATCAACCATCAATAGATGATAGTACAAATATAACTAGTTCATATGTATGGTTTTGTTACAAGAATCAATGTCCAACTGAAAGCCAAGAATTAGCAAATTGTAAATCAGGTAAATTCAATTAGTTTTCAAAGGCATACAAAGTTCAATAAAAGAATCTAACCAAGATAGTCGAAATCATCTTCTAGATATATTCATGATAAGTGCCGATTTTTCATGCATTCTTTCATGAGATATCAGCCTTAATAAAATACTTAAATCTAAAACATTCGTTACAATTTTAACTTCCTAGAATGTTAGTTACTGCAACAAACTCTGCAAGCTATGAATCAATATTTATTTTTCTTTAGGAAATTATGGTTTGATCTCTATTGATGCTTGGGAACGAAATAAAACTATTGTTCAGTCGATTAGTCAAAACATGATGATACGTGACTCTATTGGAGAACAATGTCTTCGATATTATTATTATTTTACTGTTTATGATAAACTTGATTGGGGACAAAAAATTTCAGTATTAATCAAGTCTGATAATAAAACAAACAATGAAATCGAAATTGATCGACTCTCAGCTGTCGACATGATAGAAAATTCTTGGCATTCACGAAATATAACACTCAATTCAACATCTGCTAACTATTCAGTAATATTCGCTTATAATTAATAATAAAGTGAAATCAATTTCTTAATCATTTTTAGTTGATCTTTCGTTTTGAAGTTACAAATATTAATCGAACCAACGATCCAGCATTAAATAAAACAATCTATTTTGCATTGGATAATATCGATCTATATAGACAAAGCTGTTGGAGTAAGTAATACAGTATGAAAATTCGAAATGTGAAAAGTTAAAAATGATCATTTGAAAACTTTTTTAGATGTGATCGAGCCATCTACTAGTCCGATAAGTACATCACAATCTTCAATAATAACAACAACGACGGAATCATATGTACTAACAGCTTCTCCTCCAAGTAAATAATAAAATCTTTCATAATTTGTTTCAACTATTCTTATTTTTATTTTTAGCAACATCTAATTATTTAGGTCTCATTCTTGGTTTGTCACTTAGTTTCGGCATATTAATTTTGCTTTTTATCATTGGAAAAGTTTTCTTATTTTGGAGAAGAAAAAGGAGAGGCCACTTTAATTTGGATAAAGAAAAAAAAAGCCTTATTCCAATGGAAATGATAGATTTCAGATCAGTTAGCGGTTCTATAAGTGTATAGATATATTTTTTTTTTGACTATTCAAGTTGCATTTATTATTGTAGCTTTTGATTGTATCATAAATAAAAATTCGCATATAAACTAACAAAGATATGCTTTAAGGCCAATAACATTTCGTAATATGTTGATTCATTCATTCTTTCACCTTTGTTTCTTCTCATTTTCTATACGCCGTAACTAGATCATATAAACTATTAATCGATGCGGATAAGTTTGAATAATACCGATAACAAAAAAAAACGGAAAATAATCTTGAATTGTAATTTGATAAAAAATTTTTGAAATATCTGAGTAAAAGTATTTTCATAATTATTTCTACAACGTTTCATTTTTTCTTTGGAAGAAATTTTACAAATTGTGATTGTAGACATGGAGTCATGCATAAAAAAATAAAATTTACCTTTCATTCTTACTTCCATTGTACGAAATCGAATCTTGTTTCTGATCATACCTACACAAAAAAATTTCAATCACGACCGTAAGATCTTGGTAATGATTGCAATTTCTTCTTAATGAGCTGCGATATCGTAAAAGATACCGAAGTGTTTTTGCTACCGAAAGCCACATTTTCAGAAAAGTTCTGTATGGTAAAAAAAAATGAGACGTAGGATTTAAAATTGCGACTTTGCAAGTGCTTTGTATATCATGAAGTCGTTGTCATAGACCGCGATTTTTCGATACCGTTGAATGTCACCATTAGTCAAACCGCGGTAATCACAATCTGAAAACTATTGTTTTTTCGATATCGGACTTTCTCATAATCTGGCATCGCAGTTTTAATAAAAGGAATTGTGTTTCGATAAAATAGTATTTTTTCAACCATTTTCATTTGACAGCCTGTCACTAATCTGAACAAAAACAATTCACTGAATTCACATTAATTTCTACGACAAAAGAAAATTATTTCGTTAAGAAAAAAATAGTAATATCAGCTCAGTTTAATGCTATTTCAATTGAAGTTTTGTTCGATGAAATTATGCTTTTGAGAGATCGTGAATATTTCGTTCTAAAGAAAATCATAGTATGCAAAGCAGAGATGGAATTAATCTGGATTTTTTGCGATCGATACCAATACTGATCTGACGAGTTGTCGTACTATTCTATCTGTAGAGTGTGATATCTGATGTAGTGAACTTTCAAGAAAGTTTCGTTATACTTTCCTCTACGAGATAATAAAAGCAAAAAAAAAAAAATCAGACACACTGGTAATGATGGCTCTGAAATTCGTACTGATTTCATCTTTGATACAAATGGCAAACAAATATTGATGTATGATGACGATGATATGCATAAACAGGTATATATCATCTTGCACAATAATCAAACAAGAATAAATAGAAATTTTTAATTACGACTTGTTGGTTGCTTTTAGAAAAAGAATGCAAAAGAATATTTTCCTTCGGAGTGTTACATGTTTCGTCTCGCAACATACTATTTCTTTTCTTTTTGCTTTCAACAATTGATATTATCTATTATACTCTTTATTGTTCTTCTCTAGTAAGTCTAGAGGTGAAACTACGACATATTCTTTACATTCCATCTTTCTTTCTTGTCTTCTGATTATACGCGCTCTCCTTGGTTTGTTAAATAAATAAAGATTTCAAAATCTATTCTTATATACTCATGTCGTACAAACTGAGGTTCTTTTCCTTGGTTCTGTTTAATATCTCATTGCATGAATATTTTTAAATTCTTTATAAAAAAAAAAAAACGTTAAATTTCAGTTGAAATCGCACCTATTCGTGAATGTGAACGCGCTCATGCCGACTGTACCAGTCGTCACATCGATTCTTTTTGCTCAGTTTTTGAGTCTGATTATGTCTTAAAGTTGGTGCCGTCTGACGAAATTTACTATGGCATATTAAAATTGACTTTTTTCAGTAGTCATCGATTTCAATATCAATTTAATAGGCAAATTATAAACAAAATGTGATAAGAAAAGGAGTAAATTGTTCGAATCGTCGGTTTCGGTGATAAATTGACGACATAGGTAGCATCTTTGCGCCTATAGTGTCTGTTGATAAAAGAAATTTTTTTCTCTCTCAGTCTCTTAGCAGTCAATAGTGTATTACGGTTAGGAAATAATGCTTAATTAAATACCTAAAAAGTTACCCACAATTGGCTTTAGTTTATATTCAACATAATAAAAAAAATGCATGTCTCTTATATTTTCGATATGAAAATATGATATTGTTCTGGTTTGTGTTTAGTTCTTATCGGTAGTTGTGAAGTTATTTGATGATGTTAGTGATTGAGATTTTATAGCATCTTTTGTTTTTGTTTCAATTTCTATTTTATGATCTAATTGAGTTACATTCGGTTCTTGTTTAATTATTATTGAAGTTTGTTTCTTGTTATTACTAGACTTTGGTTTTTCAGATACTACATTAAAATTATTACGTTCTGATGATGGATGTAACATTCTCGCGCCCATGCTATTAAGAACAACAAAACATATATCATTAAATAGCCTGTAGATCTGTATTTATTTTGGAAAGTATTTTGTAAAATAAAAAACACTGTCAACGGTGCAACTATTAAAAGCTTAACTTTACTCAAAAAATTAGAACAGAAACAAGATCTGTTTTTGTTTATTATTAAATACTCTGTTTAATAAATAATTAACATAGATGACGTTTGAGATAAGAAATTTTCTCTGTATAATATTTTGGTTTTTCTATCAGCATAGAAACAGTTGAATATAAAAACTTTCTAACGATTGATCTATGTATTTTTGTGCTAATTAATAATTATTCTGGAAGAATAAATAAGATATTCATGTACAACATCCTCTTTTTTTTTCGGCATAAATTTAAAAAGAAATTTGATGGTTAAACTCGTGATAAGAAAATGCTAAAAAAGATAACAGTACACACGTTTTCTTTCTTTTGTCAGTACATTTTATCCTTCAATAATACTTGCATAGGTGTTGTGCAGTATTAATCAGTATGCAGAATTTCAGGGCATTGAGTCAATCGAATAGCAAAATTAATCATACTTTTTCTATTTTCACGTTGTAAAAGGGTATATATAACAAATTGATTATTGCAAGATTAATAAAAGCTTAACTATTATAAAAAAATATCTCGTCAACGAAGTCCCATAGCAGACGATAGTTGCTTTCTCAGGCTAATCGATCATCGGAGAAACGATCTGACATTTGTATCTATACATTTCGAACAAAAGTTTCTGTTTTTCACTGGCAATCTATATTTTGTTTGCCTTGTTGTTATTCATACTTTGTTTTTTCATTTTCGAATTCTGTTTTTTTCTTAATTTAATATTATTATTCTTCTAACCATTAGTTCAATTGCTATTGTGCATATCTATTAGATTTACAGCTGATCTCAAAGCACTATTGTATATCTCGATAAACTTAGAAATATTGATATTGATTATTTCTCAAAGTTATAACTTAATCAGTTCGCGCATTTTTATGTTGATTACAAGACAAATGTGGCAAATTAATGCATCACTACCCATCATACTTAGGATTTTGAATATAAATTTTTATCTGAACAAACACAAAAAAAAACTGTACTGCTTAGAACATCGACAAACATATTGCAGCCATTTAAAGTTCCACCAAGGCTTTGGAATTATGCTAGAACATTCCCCATAGGCCTTTAGAAGTCGAGTCATGGCCATTTTATTAAATATCCGCTGAGAAATTAAAAACCAGTATTTCGATTTGAAATTTTGCTTATAGATAAACTCAATAGATGTTCCTTAATCGAGATATTGAATTTCCAAACTATTGTCGTTTACCACAGATATGCCACAAAAATCGGGTTTACTTGAAAATTCAATATCTCGATAAAGGAACATTATTTTCGCCTGACACTTTCAGAATATTTTACTAGTCATTTGACCTATTTAGGGACGAAATTTCAGGTCGAAAATTCAACACAACAGTCATAATCCAGTTCCAAAAGCCCATAAAGACGAACTCTTTCTGAGATTTTTCTATTCTAGTCGAGATCTCTTTTCCCTCGTAAGAAACTCTGAAACAGGAACCTGACACCTGTTCCTATGAGGAGAAGTTACAAAATCTCGGCTTGAAACTTACATTCACTATATTTTTTATTCGAAAAATATTTCACAGAAATAAAAAGCTACCAACGATTGACTTTCTGTTTAGCATAATAAAAAAATTACATATCTATTAAATTTTCAATGTAAAACTATGTTATTATTTTATTGTTGTAGTTTGCATTTAGTTCATGTTGGTAGTTGTTGAATTATTTGATGATTGAAGTTTTATAGCATTATTGATGGCATCCTTTGTTTTTGTTTCAATTTCTATTTTATTATCTGGTTGAATAACATTTTGATCTTGTTTAGTTGTTGTTGTTGTTGTTGTTGAAGATTGTTCATTATTGTTAGTAGACTTTGATTTTTCAGATACTACATTGAAATTAATACGTCCCGATGATGGATGTAACATTTTCATCATTATATAAAATTTCTTTATTTTTTTAGAATAAATTAAAAAGAAAAAGAAAATGAGCAAAAACTTAAATGATAAAAATGTGTCAATTAGACTTGTGCAACTTACTTTATTTTGTCTAAGAGAGATTTGATGTTTAAAATCGTAACAACAATATTAAAAGAAAACAAAAGCATGCACGTTTTCTTTCTTTATCAGTACATTTGCATAGGTGTTGTGTAATATTATTCTGTATGTAGATTTGATATTTTTAGCACATTGATGTCAATCGGTCGAATATCAAGATTAATCATACCGATTCTATTTTTACGCTATACAAAAGTAAATATAACTATTTCATTATCAATAGGTTAACAAATACTTAGCTAAAAGATAATCAAAATGCAAGATCAACAATTTTTTTTCTACATTAAAATATATAGATCCAATATAGAATTTTTTTGACTATGAAGAATTGATTTCATTGTTATCAATTTTATTACTAAATTCTCATGAAGAGTTACAACTGTCTTTTTTTTATTGATTTCTGAACAAAATATCATTGTCTCATTATCATAATGCAAAGAACAATAAACTTTTATTCTATTTAGTTTTTATTTTAATCAATCAATATTGTCATCTTATGAACTTCATGTCGCTGAAACTTATATTTAAATAACGAGTTGTGGTATTGAAAATTTATTAGAGGATGCATTTTTCTTTTCATTCTATTTGTTTGTAATTATCTTAGAAAAATTATATGACAGATAAATGAATCATACCCATCCAGCATTATTATTATGTATTCAAAGTATCCTAATAAACAAGCATCGTACAAATAATATTATTTAATGATGGAAAGATATTTCAGTAGCATTTCAACACTTGTTTTCTTTTCATCATATAAGTAATACTATATGGAAAAGATTTCTGTCTATTATACAGTGTAGAGACATTGTCATTGACTTATGAGTTAATTCTAGAACAATGGAAATATCATTAGAGGTCAATCAGTTCAAAGTTCAGATCAGATGAGCAAAAGAACTGTTCGAACATATCAAATCATATTGCAAGATCTTTTCCAGCAGTTCAGTTTTCAGAATTGAGCTGTCTGAAAAATGTTGTTCTGTTTTCAGAACTGACGAAGTAACCTCTTTAGTTTTCTCCTTTTCGATTTCAATGATTGTTTTTTGCCTATAGATACTACATAGTATTCTAATAAAAACTCTAACAAGATTTGACTAAGCTATCAAATTTTTAATATGTCTATTTCCTGGAAGCCTCAAGTTTTCGATGAACTCGTATTTTCGAATTTTGGTTTGAAACTTTGCCTGTATAGAGAACTTAACTAGATTAACTTCCATAAAAAAAACTCAAAAACTTTGAATAAAGCCTTTTCGAGATATGAGACTTTCGACAGAAGGCATCTGAAGAGGTTCTATCGTGAATGTTTTCAGCAGATCCGAACTAGAACTAAACTTGTCGACCTGTAAATATGACAAAGCCTGCTTTTTCAAGTATTTGCCGATATGTATATAATCACTGAGATATTTGACTTTGATGCGATGATCAAATCCTTTATCATATGTAGGTATCAACCATGACTGATAATTTCTTGTTAGATTTGAATACTAGAATTCTTTCAAATACGATTTCGTTCGATTTCATCATTAGTAAGTCGAATATTAAAGATAAATTAGACGAACTAGAACAATCATAATTGTTCCATTGATTATAGTCAGTGTAGTTGTAAAAAAAGAAGACAAGTCTTTATTTTTTTTTTATGCAGAAGAGAATAATGATAATTATTCAGTTGGTATCACGCATAGGAAAAAGAATAGAAAGACTCTAACACATCTTTCAATAAATGTTATACTATTGTCAAATTTACCAAGAATATAATGTTATGTGTCTGTTTATTATATAGTATCACTAACGATACTCCTAATAATGAATCGTGGGTGTTACCATACATCTATCTGATAATGAACTGATCTATGTACTTTTGCCAACATTTCACATCAATCAATTAAACGTGTTCAACTAAGTTTGAAATAAGTCAATGTTTTATTGGTAAGATGTTTTTCTCATGCTGATCAATTTCTAACAATAAAAAACATTCATACCCAACTGTTGAATGGAAAAACTGATGATATGATAGAGATTATTGAATAAATGATAAAACTATTGGATAATAAATGACAATATTCTACAACAAATTTTACAAGCACATCGTAAGAACAACTAATCGAGAAGTTTTTTTTTTTTTTTTTATAGATCTTTAAAATATTATTTTATGATAGAAGATTTATTGAAATCTAACTACATGTCAACTCTCATGAATGGGTTGATATTAGTATAGGAATTTATTTCTTATTATCGATTCAAAGAACATCGTGTTTTTCATTCATGTTTAATTTTGCTCATTTCCTTTATATTATAAGAAAAAAAGACGCTCCCATGTTTTCTCTTTCAATTATTGAAAACCGTAGATCAGAGGCCCAAGCAGGTCTACTTTTCTTGGGCCTGGCCTGCCTGTGACAGGCCTACACCCTACCTAGCCTGCCTATGCCTGTCAACTTTTTTCTTTGGCCTGGCCTGCCTGCCTGTCAGTTTCTGCGGCCTGCCTGTGAAGGTCTGTCTAATTTTTTGAAGCGAATATCATGTTAGCAATAAAATATAATTAGGTAATAGTCTTCATAGAAGGTCCAACAAATCAATGGAATCATTTTAGATGACCAGGAAAAACTCTCTTAAGCGAATATTGCAGCAAAAAATTTAGAAGTATTTACTATACAGATGGCTTGCCCCTCATCTGCAAGTCAGAGAATATAAAAATAGGAGTAGAACAAAAAATCGTTCACTTCAGAAAGTTTTTTCTAGTTGATTGAAGCTGCAAAAAAGAAGTTATATTTCATTATAAGGAGGCTTTTACCAAGAGGCGATCGATTTCAAGAACGAATCGATTAGGACGTATTTAGATTGCTCACAATAATGACATGTTCACATTATGGGGACGTGGACGGCATCAGGTCTTCCTCTACATTGAATATGAATTGAAAAGTGTTGGTATCTCG